GCAATAACTTCTGCAAGATGTGCTCCTCAGGTGCAAACTCTTTAGACTTGACCCAGACTAAGTCGCCTACTTGAAACTGTGAGGGGCGACGGTGCTTATTAGCCTGTTCTATCATTCTATGTTGGGTCTTTCTGAGGTTCTCAACAACAGTTGCTAAATGTTTCTCATGCTGCAAAGCAAACTCCCTGGTTCCGGGCGGTAGTCTGTGAATCTGATCCCGGTTCAGTCCTTCGAACGGTCTGCGTGGTCTAAAGGACTTGTGCAACTCGTTAGGAGTGCGGCAGCTGGATAGATGCACGCTGTTGTTGTATGCACTAGCTACTTTAGGCAACATCTCATCCCAGTTAATCTGATCTGGTCTAATGTACATGCGCAGAACTTGCTGAAGGATCTTGTTCATCTGTTCTGTCTGACCGTTAGTCTCTGGGTGACGGCCAGATGACATTAACAACTTAGATCCGTAAACTCTCATGAGTTCTTGCCAGTTCTGGCTGGTGAAGCGACTATCTCTATCATTAACAATTGACAATGGTGATGCAAGGCCCTTGCGGATCACACACACACTCAAGCCGACAAACACTCAGACAGGCACGCAGACCAGCAAGCACGCACACACACAGACTTAGAAAACTCAGCAGACAGTGGAAATCTCAGCAAGGCATTCATTCTAGCGGCGAAACTCGGAAATCAGCTGTGTTCTCAGTCCGTGTTTTGGAAGGTCCTTACAGGTGCTCTCTTTCTTGCCCTTGCAACGATAGAGCCCTGTCAAGCGCAAAAAAAGGAAGGCCACAACTGGCCAATCCTGTTGCGCAAAACCATTATCCGTACGCAGTATGAAGTCAAGCATAAGAGTAACAAAATCATGATTTCCCTGTGTGCTTGATGATGAAAAGTCATCAAGACTGACCCTGCATTCAATTCAAGTTCTATGCTACAGTTTAATCCTGCTGCTGATGGGGCGGCGCCCCTGGTAACCTTAGCTTATACATGAGTTGCTGATGATTTTGCTGCTGGTGTTGTTCTGCTGCCAGGGATGTTGAGGGTGTACTGCTGAAACCAGAATGGTGTATCGAACGCGACATTTCAAATGACGACAAGGCATTTGAAGCAATAAGGAAAGAGATTGCGGCTCTCCCAATGAGAGAACAACAGCAGAGGCAAGGCATGGGCAGGACAGGACAACGAAAGGGGCAAGTAACAGGCGTAGATTAGTGGTGGTGGTGGGCGGTGGGGGGAAGCAGTAAAGGGTTGGGGGGAAGAAATGGGGGGCAGGAGAGAAAAGGGTGGGGGGAGGGGCAGAGGAGGGAAGCAAGGGAAGGGAGGGACGGGGGGGACGAGGACGGTTAGGAAAAGAATGGCAGTACTTGGTAACGAAATGGAATATGTGACAGGTGTAGATTTGAGGGGAGGGGGGAGTGTAAAGGGTGGAGTGGACAGAGGGTGGGGGAAGCGGAGGAGTAGAAGGTGGGGGGGGAAGACAGGGAGAGAGGGGAGTAGAGGGGTGGGGGAGGGGCAGGGGAGGGAAGGGAGGGAAGGGGAGGGCTAAGGGAGGTGATTTTGCTACCGGGTGGATATAGGCTCGGCCGCTTCAGGGCAACCATAGGTATTATGATGTATACATGTGGTGCTTGCTCCACACTTGCGAAACTTCACATGCTGCTTCTCTTTTCTGTTGTTTAAACTCTTTTCTTTCATTTTGTGTTTTCTTTTTCTTTCCCGATTTTTGTGTGATTTTATGTTCAGCTGCTTCAGCATTATCTTGTCAGTTCCAAGTAGAAAGTACCGACCACGATGCCCTGGCTTTCACAGTTGGCTTTTGCGGGTTTTTTTTTGGGCGTAGCCTTAATGTTCCATTTTGTTCTTTCATTTTAATTGTGTTTTACACTAGGTTGAACTTCCGGCCGACTGGGGGGCCCTCCAACAACCGGAACCAGGCCGGTAGAACCGGCCGGTCGACCGTCCCGGTTCAACCCCGGTAGGCCCCAGTGCATTTTCACTGGTAGGGTTTTCCGCGGTTCAAATGCCGCAGGGGTCCAGGGCGAGGCTCTAGGAGGCCAGCGAACCAAAAAAATAAATTAAAAGGGTCCAGTAGGCCCGTCCGCAATGACTCAAAAGAGCAGGCGTTGTGGACCGCCTATCTCGAGAGATCGATGGCCCAGATTGCCCACCCTTTTGAATCATTGTGGGCGGGAAACTGGACTTTGCAGAATTTCCCAAGCAGCCCGACCTCACCCCACTGCCCCAACCCACCGCCCAGCACTGCCCGTCACTTTCCGCAGCAGCCCTCGACACCATCCGTGTCCTCTCCCTTTGTCACCACGATGCAGCAGCCTTCGACACATCATGCACCCTCCAACGCACGTGCCTTCGCCGTGCACCTTTGCGTCCAGCCCGCACGGAGAAAGGTAAGCCATAGCCATATTTTTCTTCTTCGTCCTCTTCTTCTTCTTTTTCTAGAGAGAGAGAGAGAGAGAGAGAGAGAGAGAGAGAGAGAGAGAGAGAGAGAGAGTGCTCCTACTCATCCCCCTGTATCTCCTCTTCCTCCTCTTCTTCTGCTTCTTCATTTTTGCCGCCTCCTTTTTCGTCAGCTTCTTGGGGGGGGAGAGAGAGAGAGAGAGCCGTCATCTTTTTCGCCACCCAACGCCTTACCCCTGAAATACCCCCCCTCCCCCTCGACCTCCTGTTCACAGTTTTCTTTGCGGATTCGGGGATCCCGGCGAGCGCAGTCCGACCAAGCTTTCAAAACAAAATAAAAATAAATTGACCCGCTTTTTGGCCCAACCGGAATTCCGGTTGGACCACCTCCTGGTTGGATCCAGCCTGGTCCAACCGGCCGGTTGCCTGCACAGCCCTGGTTTTACAGCATTTCATTCTCTCAATTCCAATTTCATTTGAAACTCCTCTATCAGATGAATTAGGTGAAAGGCTTTCACGCCACAGTCAGTGTCCCGAGTCCTGGTCCCAAAGTCCAAGTCGTCTCAGTCCCACAGAAATAACTGGTGCGGCAGGCCCAACGGCCGAAGTGTTGTACTTAGGTCCCATACGTCAGTAGAGTCTGGTAGTCCGACAGAAAGTATAGGGTCGTCAGAAGTCAGGTAGGTCCAGTACCGACAAGAAAAGTCCAAAGTCCCAGTCCATCCTGGGAAGTCCAGTGGGTTCCGGAACTGGCAAAAAGTGCAGCCGATACGAGTTACGAGTCTGCAGCAGACAAAGATCTCAACACAGCTACTATTTATAGAGCTACTGTGCTACGAAGAACTCACTTCTCAATTTATGTGTTGCAGAAGCTGTGTTGAACGCTTGTGCAACCACTGGTTGGACTAAGTCGCGGAGATTGAGGAAGAGTTGGCGCAGCAGCGCCATAGCTAGGTTTAGCAGGAAAGAAGGCGACCACCATAGCTGATAGGGTAGTAGGAGGAAGAAAAGCGAGTGCATTTAGAGAGTGAGAGTGAGTGATCCAAGTGAGTGAGGAAGGTGAAAAATACGAGAGAGGAGGGAAAGCAAGTGAGAGAGAGAGAGAGAGAGAGAGAGAGAGAGAGAGAGAGAGAGAGAGAGAGAGAGAGAGAGAGTGGGTACTTACCTGAGTGAGGATCATAAGCTGGTAGCCATAATCGCATGTACGATGACCTTGGACTAGCAATGAGTAGTTCGGGGTTAATAATTTGAGACTTCCAGCTGATCTCGATTTCGTTTCTGTGTTGTTGATTATTTCTGTGTGAGCATTGGTGACATGCATAGTTGCAAGGAGTTGAATTGAAGCTGGTTCATTGCACTGCTGTTGGAGTGTGCTGTTGTTGCATTGTCGGAGAAGAACTTGAGGCTGGCATCGATCAAGGCCGGCAAGTGTTGAGAGGGAGTTGACTGCAGTGGTGGAAGGCCCGAGGCTGAAGAGGCAAAAAGGGGAAGGGGGGGAGGTTAAAAGAGAAGCATACTTGAGTCTTCATCGAGCAAGTGCTCCTAGGAGTCCTAACCCTAGCCTTGTCAATTCTGTAATTGTTGCTTTGTTTTGTGAATTCTGGTGGTCTTTCCCATCAGATGCAAAAGCTGCTGCTGGTCACGTCCTTTGAGTCAACAGTGATGCCGACTTAGGCCTAGGGTAGAGACTCGACAGCTGGCAGGTGACCTCGAAAAGTAGCAGCACGGGCATAGAGCAGCAGGAGTTCGTAAAACAACCCGGCTAGACCTAAGACCGGTACTGACTGGCGTGTTTGTGAGCCATGTGACTCAGCGAGGGGTCTGTCTACGTCTTGAGAGGGAACCTACTTCGTCGTCAAGCCATGCCATTCTGTTTGCAGCATTAGATAATTCCTGAGGGCGTTGCTGGCAGTCCTAAATTTGTTGGTTGGCTTGACTAACCATGCTGGTGGACCGGTAGTGATTGCCATAGCTGGGAAAGTCCTAAATAATTCCCGATAAGTTGCAGTCCATGGTAATTAGTCAAAGGTTAAGTTTTGAGGCTACCGTCTTCACCCGAATAGAAAGCCCAGTCATTATAGTTGTATCTACACTGGAAATCATCCCAAATACAGCTATAATGACCGGGCATTGTATTCGGGTGAAGACGGTAGTAGTCTACATGGTAGGTAGGGAGTCGAACGGTGGTCACCTGTCTGACCAACTGTTTTGCTGACCGAGCGCCATGGACGACTATCCGAGGTTTGGCTCCCTTACTCTCTCGGTCATTTGGGAACCCCTACTTCGCATGTTGTTCCCCCTCGGATTCTTTAGAATCAGTAGATGTGCCATGAAGAACTTAAGGGACAGCACGATCGTATTAGAACCGGGGGATGAAGGATATGGGGAGGAGAAAAAGAAAAAGGAAAAAAAAAAAAAGAGAAAGGGAAAAGAAAGAGTTGGAGGAGAAGAGAAAACAGTTGGAGGCGGAGAGGCCCGAGATATAGAAGGTTGAGTCCGAACTTCTCTTCGAAGAGAGGAAGGAGAAGAAGAGAAGAAAGGAGTAAGGAAACAGGGAGGGGTGAAAAAAGGAGGAGAAAAGAGGAGTGGGAAGGAAGAGGAAGGAGGCAGTAAGGAGAAGGCATAGTCCGGCCAACCCCCACCAACAATTGTGACCTTCTCTGAGGAAGAGATGGAGAAGTTCAAGAGGGCTATTGGGATACCCCAAGGGGGGCAGTTGCCGCAAGGTGCAGAAGCAAGTGGTGAGGAAGTGCATGCTGCCATAGCTGTGGCTGAAGGAGAAGAGAACCAGATTCTCAGGAGTGGGAACTGCAGATTGAGAAAGTGTCGCAGGCGATGGAGCAAAAAAAGGAGGCGGAGCAGAAAAAGAAACTGCTCCAGGACGGGCCAGCATTAGTAGAGCAGTTGGAAGGCCGTATGGAGAAAGAATCCACCCCCGACTTCGCCCTTCTCTCTCAAATGGCACTTCCTACTCAGCTAATGAGACTGCCGCACTACGACTACTGTTAGAAAAAGTGGTCAGACGGCAAGACAAGGCAGCAGACAAGTGGGGCGGCATGCTCGAACACGCTTACGGAATGGTGCACAGCACGTGTCGAGAGTATGCTTTCCAGTTGGCAGATTCGTGTAAGGAGTTCGGTAATAGGTTGGTGAAGAAGGACCCGGATGGAGAAGATGTCAGAGACAGCGGTGGCAATGGAGATGGAGACCGAAAGGGAGGAAGAAGAGAAGGTGTCTGACGGGGAGCGCAGGGACAAAATAAAGGTGAAGGTACCTTCTGCATACAACAGGAGAAGGGAGGAGAGCATCCGGCAGTGGGAGGCAGCCATAAAAACATACCTTTGGGTGCATAAGATCCCTTACCAGGGTCGACTGTTGATGGCGGCGTCATGCTTGGGGGCACATGCACTAAAACTGAGTTGGGCCGTGTTGCAGGCCGAAGCAGCAGAATGTCAAAGGGACATGGTGAGGTATTCCAATGTCATGGACATAGATGAATTTCTGCAAGCACTTTCAAGCTGTTCGAGGATAAGAATCGCAGTAGATGGGCGAAGTACCTGATCCTAAATATCGAATGGCGATGGTGGAAGAGTGTGGCAGCACTAAAGGCGACCATGGACGAACTGCTCTAGGTCAAGCAAGGACCATAGAGCTACCCCCTCACAAATTCTAAACCGCTTTGCATTAGGCCTTCACGAGCCCCTAAAATCACAATTATACAGCAAGCCTCAGGAACTGGGACAGACCTACTTGCGTTCAGTAAGTATGCGTTAGAACAGGCTGGTTTCCTGCAGCAGGCTAACTACCACTTAAAAAAAAAAAAAAATAATAATTAAAAAAAAAA